GGTTTCTGCCTAAAATGAAAGCTTTGTTTCTTCCTCTGCAGTGTGTGAAAATGACCTGTCAGCATGTAACTTCACAATTCCTCATATAGAAACTTGTTGATTAGTGTATGGGATATTTTTACATATACAGTGATACCTGCTCTGGTTACTTGATTGTATGCTAAAAATAGGTTTGATATCTTCCAAACATACCATCTTTATAGTGCAAAAGAGTGATTTTGTCCATGTAGAGCAATGGAGGAAGGACACTTCCTGGTATTTACATATAAAGTTGTTGCCAGGACAAAACACAGACAATAAACCCACACATGACTATCACAGGGTGTCAACAACCGTTATTATCAAACACCATTTTTTGGCCCTACAAAAAAAAACATCTGCCTGGAGCTACATAAGGCTAATTTAGGTGTAGATTTAAAAAGGCCCATTGGACAGTTTTAACCCACTAATGAATAACAACTATATTTTGTTAAGGGAAAAGCCCCACAGATTCTTTTCTGTTTCAGGTGGAAAGAAAAAATGTGATGCAACTCACATACTAAACATTATGAAACTTATAACATTTATACATTTTTTAACATTTGCAGTAGTACTCCAAGAAGTACTGAACCTATCCTTTGACATACAATCAAGCAGATTCTGTGCACATAACATGCCAGTCAAATGAGCTGACTTCCAAGAGCAAGAGGCTAAAGGTCTCTTTTAAAGGGGGCCCAGTGAACCTTTAGCATTTTGCTTATGCATCAAAAATCAAGTGATGAGCTGCCCTGACCCTGTCCAAAAGCAACCTGAATATTCTGCTGAGAAACTTGAATTACAACAAGCGGAGGAAGAAAGTCTGATTTAACAGAGACAGGGAGGAGGAAGAGGAAGGCTTTTCTCCCTGCAAATTTGGAGGGTAAAAACCTCCTTCTGTGAGGATTATCTTCATATTCCATGTTTAGCCCTTAGGCACCCTTCCAGCCAACACTTAAAGTTTGTTTCTAAGTCGAAGCATTAGAGAGACAGAGATGGAGGAGGCTGGAGACAGCTGTGGGCAATGACATGTTTGATTTTTCTGTAACAACAGAGCAGGGTTTCCAGTGATTACACTACACTAACCCCGTCTCCTAGAAGTTATGCTCATATCAAACTCATTTGCAACAGAAAATATGTTCTGGAGGTCACATAGACTCGATTATGTTTTCTATCAACATAACGAGCAAACTTTTGTCAATTAATGCATCTGGCAAGTCACAAAGATGTTGATACTAAACATTTCAGTAAAATGTTAACTGACAGTATATTTCAATTCAATTCAATTCAATTTTATTTGTATAGCGCCAATTCATAACAGAAGTTATCTCAGGACACTTTTCAAATAG